ATTTCCTTGAGGAATGTCCACGCCTTTACCTTTTTCGGTGTTAATTCGAGAAAAAATTGACACGCCCAGCTTGCTCTTTCAGCTTCTCGAAAATTACTGAAAACGTTTCTGCCAGAGACGAAAGAACTCACCCTTCTCTTTATCTTGGCACCCCATTCGCTATCTTTGTCCACTATGATTGCACATGTACAACATAATGGTCAGATAAATATTGAAACTGTGAATGCTCTGCCCGTCTTGCTTCTGAATTACGCATTAGCAGAAGCCAAGCCGCGCAAAAAGTATCTTATTACATGCATACGTGTTTAAACAATCGTTTAGCGGGGGGCCTTATGTGCTTGCCTACGGGTTATTCTCCATGTTAGGAAAAGACAGGTATGCTTAAACAAAAGGCTGCCTGTGAATGTTATTGCCGCTTTTTAAGTCAGCAAAGCACACAGATTTACAAATCCGACTTTTTTAAGTCGTCAAAACATTTGGTTTTTGGAAAATAACCTGTTCTTTCGCATCCAACGTTTAATTTTGCTGAAATTTGCAATCTTCCTTCTTAATACATTTACTTTTAAACATATTTTGCTCGAGAAAAGCATCTTTTTCTGAATGGATTAAGCAAAAGAGTGAAATGCAGGGCGCTTTGGTGCCCTAAAATCACCATATATATCTTCATGACCATGACTCACTAGTTACTCCCCATACTTTAGTCATCTAATAGGAGTACTATAGTCCTGCTTATTCATTTTATACTTTAAACATACCCAGTCGAGCCCCACTGGCCCATCTGAACTTTTCGCTTTTGAAACACCGAGGATACGATACGCCTTTGTTCAAGCCTGCCCGCATCTCAGGCGCATATACCCATTAAATATTTCCATAACAAAGATCGACCTTTTCACGTGAGCTACCCCTGGAGTGGTTTCAGTAGCCGTAATAAAACCACTTTTTTGAGAGACTAATGCACTTCATAGTCCATGCATTAATTGAGCCATAAAGCACCCTTAAATAATGTCTTTGAATCTTTAAGTGTGGGAATTTTTAAACGGCAGAAGCCTCGGTTGGGTCATAGCTAGCTGCCGACCTCGAATATACTGAAAACGGTCAGTCGAGTCTCCCGTTTCCTCGTTGACAAACCTCCTGATTGTCGATTGCATTTTATTCTGCGTTGTCCACCTAGGTTGCTGCCGGATATTCGAAATAAACAAGCAGTTTCCCTATTCGCTCAAGCCGTTAGTTTAGACCTAGGAGCCCTCCTTCACTGTGCCCCTAATCACAGGTGATAGGCTGTAGGAGCTTGAATAGATGAACAGCGTACTGGAAGTTCGAATCTTCGCAACCTGCGCTGAAAGCAGCAACAACAACATGTAGACCGTCCCAGTTTTCATGTTTTTTTCAATTAACAAAACTCTGTGCGCAGGCTTGTCCATGCCGCCGGCTTGCACGACATTTGTTTTAATGTCGTACGCCTTTTCTGTGTTCTTTGCACGACGGAATACGACGGTACAGATTGTGCGGCTCAGTGTGCCAGCAAGGAGCATTCTGCCGCCAAGAGTAATTGCAGCAGGATTGTTGTTGGGACCGATGTCCAAGAAAAAGGTCAGGAGCAATCTCTGTCAACTTCTGTTTGCCATTAAAGGACAGTCTTGGCTGGTCCCTTCGTCGTTCGCGTGTTAGAGGAGTGCTGGGGATGCCCACATAACATGAAGATCGGGCACTGGGACAAACGTTCCTGGCACATGTTTGTGGCATTTTAGAGCCCGGCGACGTCCTCCGCGCGTAGGCAATATTCACAAGTTGTGTCGCTGTCTGATCATTTTGCGCCGGAACGAAAGAAACCCCCACCCCATGAACCAGCGTTGGATTTATATGCAGCCTAACCGAACGGCGCCAGTAAGCAGGTAGGCGGGCAAAAGTCCACTGTCTGCCTTTTTAAGCCGTAACAAGGGAGAAAGTAATAATTTTCGTACACCAGGTGTCACATAGGGCGTCCAATATTTGTTCATGTGTTAGTCTTTCAAGGCATTCAAACGTATTTCCACATCTCGTTCCTATGTAATGAGCGTTTTGTGCGGAAGAGACCGATTTTCAGCAACGATTGGACCGACCTTTCGACTGTCGATCATGACGATGTCCAAAACGTGCCCCCGGGCGACGGTGACCTGCGCGTGGTTTAGTTTATAGTAATAGCAGACTGGCGTAGCATCTGTCATACTCTCTTCTCATCTCCCATCTCGGTCCGGCGTCATGACCGAGTCAGGAAGGCCGGAAGCGGGGGAGGGTGTAGGTGACTGGCGTGGCGCGAACCCGCGCCTAGACGGGCCATGTTACCCTCTGTTTAGCGCAAAATAATCAGGATTTCGCACAGCAGTTCACAAACCGGTCACCCCGACAACACACGGCAGTTCGAATGAGGATCCCGACGATGTCCACTGCATGCTTCACAGCAGAGTGGGAGTAGGCACAGTTACTTGCGCGGGGATTAGTTTAAACTGACAGTGGACTTTCGCAGCATCTACCGCACTCTCTCCTCCCTTACCTGGGCCTGGTGTCGAGATACAGCCAAGAAGACTGGAGGCGCGAGAGGCCGAAGGTGGCTGGCCCGATGAAATCCACACCTAGGCCTACTACCGCAGGTGGCTAGCACAGCGCAAACTCGCAAGTAAGAGGACCACAGCGTACACTGATCAGGATTTTATGCAAAAAGAAAAATGGGGCGTAACACCAATCCCATCGAGTGCAGCATGCATCTGCAAATAGGCTTGCTACCACACCTGCAATGCTGGCATTTATTACGCATGCGCACTCTTGACAACGCCTGCTGATCTAGCCCCTGTGTTGTGTTCGTGTGGTCCATGTTAGGGGCAGAATCGATCACTTCACACAAACACACACGATAGCTCGACTGTTCTATTCGACGATGTCCCTTGCGTTCCCCACAAAAAACTGAAGCAGGAAGGGCGGTGACTTGTGCGTGATCGGATTTATTGTGGTGGTAAACTTGCGCAACATCTGCCACACTCCCTCCTCCGCCTGCCCCAACCGGGCCCCGTGTCAAAACATAGTCAATAAGCCTGGAGGAGAGAGAGAGAGGGCCCGGGTGGATGACACGAATAATCAGCACAGCTCTGATCAATAGAAGCGAAGAGACGAGTCCCAGGAAGTAGTCTTGAAGAAGGGGTCACTATCGCCAGGAAAAGAGCTTTACTAGCCTGACGTTCCGGATTCCTGCGCGAATCCATCATTAGAGGCAAAAGCAGATAAGGGTGGTTCATGCATATGAGGCAGCAGTATTTAAAGGATGCAGTAGCCACGCAACCGCATACCTATGAATATTCACAGTTCCCCCCTCCATCCGGGATCGTTGCACGTGGCGTGATGGCCGAAATTCGCGTCGTAATTGCTGCAATTTCATCACGTGCGTTGGATGTTGGTGTGATGATTGCTCGACCATCTGACCCGCTGACCCGGGTGTTGGGAGGAGTGTTCACCTGTGCGCTCCCCGCGTGGCCAATTACTACGCCTAGGCGAAGTCTCAGCACCAATTACGTAGTGGAAAGTTCATTGCACTTGTTAATAGACTGGGGGTCAGTAAACCATGACTCAAGCATCTCCCGGCTCACGCGGTTGTCACCTCTTGCGAGAATTTCGGCCTAGTCGAATCTGAATGTGGCCGGATTTCGTCGAAAGAGCTGCAACTTGGGAGCTGGCGTCATTTCTCCGAACCGCTGCAGCCTGTTCGACCAATCGCCTTTGGACTTGTCTTCCGGTTTCTCCGACGTAGTTGCTTTGTCCGCAACTTCACCAGATCAGATAAACGACTCCAGACGTTTCTTGCCGTGGCAGTGGGTCTTTCGGTTTCATTAAGTGACTTTATTAATTTCAGACCCCATTACAGACTTTACACCGAGTATACTTCTTGTTGCGTGACCGGTATACGAACATGTGAGGCCCTATTTGTACATTCCCAGGGAAGTTAGAGATTCCATGCACAAAGTATTGATGGCGGATCGAATTTGGGTTGAAGAAGAAGAAGAAAGGAAGAAGAAATGGAAAGGCCAAAAGATGGCTGGGGAGGAGGAAACTAAGGAAAGGACCACTGGGGATACATGTTAAATCCTGATTTACGCGAAACAACGGGATTACCTCAAGCGACTTTTATGTGTTGGGTATTTGAGAACATTTTCTGGTTCGCTGCCCGCACGTCCTCAGTACTTCGTTCGGTGTGCGTAGTTTTGTAAAATTAAATTATACCCTTTTTTCGAGTATAAAATTGGAAGAAGGCGTAATCTTCTACCAAATGAGCGAAATAATGAATATTTTTATGCCTGTTTTCCATGAAATATAATTGAATTCCTAAGGGCATGGAAAATCAATGAGAGGAATGCAGGCTGCTTGAAAAGTCATTTTTTTACAGAGTACAGTTTTTGCATACAACCAGAAGAAGGTTCATTCAAAAGCCGGCGTCCTGTGGTAACTGAAATATTATAGAAGTATGCTGCAGGCTGACTAGTTTTACAATCCCGCTTAATTAATCTTTTCGAAACGAAAACGCATTTCGGAATTTCTGTTGAGATTTCATAAGTTTGCCCACCTACTGTAATTCAACCTCGATGAGATCCGCGACTGGATTATATATCCCACTTCACTCCAGATAGCCGCCACGCTGACGTGTCACGGAATGAGGCGGTTGATGCGCTGTTCAGGCCCTCAATCGCTTATCTCTAAATGTTCCATGGAATCTATCTCACTGCCGAACGGCGCCGCTTTGGTTCTTCCTGTGGCGAGGATGTTTCCGGACTTCAACTCCCGGACCTGCTCTCAACTACTGGTGACTAAACTATTCTATGCGACGCTTCTACCGCCTCCCATCGTCCATTTTGTGCCGCCACCCCTCTGCCTAAAGGTCTTCATCTTCCTCAACGACCTCCCTCACCATGGAAATCGACAAACTGGTTTTCAACCGCGTCGTCTGCCTGGGATGCACTAGGACTTGAAAACCTGGACAAATGCGTGCCTCGGCTGCCAGCGAAGTAAGGTTTAATGACAAAAACAAAGCTCCCATCGGCACCGTCCTCGATCTTGAACATTGTAGGTGTCCTGCGCCTTTCCAGAGACTGATTATATCTCCTCGCTTTTGTGGATCGTCTCACCCAGTGGCCGGAAGCCATCCCTCCGTCAAATTTTGAGGCTCCAACGGTGATAAAGGCCTTGTCAGTGGTTGGGTTACCATCTTTGGTGCGTCGGCCACCAATACGGGTGATCGCAGGCCTCAATGCGAATCTAGACTCTTTCAGTCTACCCCCTCCTTCTCAGGCTATACTCTGATGCACATGTAGCGGTGCTATAATCAGGGCTAATCCTATTTTGGAAGGGAGAAGAGAGACGGCACCAGAATGAAGGGCTTATAGTGCAAAGAACCCAGAGTTGTCCTCTCAGGCGACAGTGGCCATTGGCGAAGCCAGGTCTGGTGTTGACTGCATCCAGTCAGGCCTGAGAGTCGTTGGGACAGTGGTGGCAGCCGCTTTTGTAGGCTCGTGGGCCAAGCTCAAGTGATGCCCAGTCAGCGTGTGTTGCATTTGCCGAGGGGTGGTGTCCCAGTGGCTTGCTTTGCTGGTTGCAGGGGGTGGCGCGTTCAAGTGGCCGCATGGACAGTTGCGACTGCGCGGACGCAGGTATGCCCGAGCTGTTGGTTGTGTGACTTCAGGTCAGCTCGTCTGGGACGGCTCGCTGCAAGGGATGAATGACCTTGAGGCAGCGAGGTCTTGAACAATGACGTCAGACCAGCCAGGATGGCTAGCCGCCACACGCATGTCAGCCCATCATCCGACTGCCCACGGGATGGTCGAGCGAGTTCACTGCCAAGCGAAAGCGCCCTTTGCGCCTCGAGCGATCCGGAGAATTGGACGGACCATCTCCGCCCTTAATGCGAACCTTACCTGGTCCGCCGACGAATTAGTGTTTTCTGTCACCGCCCGACTTCCCCCTAAGGTGATCTCACCAAACCCCCTGGGTTTAGTCGAGGATCCTACCAACATCCTGCACCGTCTTAGACAATTTATGCGGGCACTCTCCCCAGTTCCCCTCAGGCCATCAGTCTCCGAGTCCCATCACGAGAAAGAGTTAGCGACATGCTCTCACGTCTACCTCCGATGTGGTAGGGTCCGCCAGCTACTGGAGCCACCTTGCGACCGTCCCTTTCGTGTTGTCTCTTGATGGGCGAAGGCTTTTTGTATTCAATGCGGAACTTGGGAGAAGGTCTTTAGCGTGGACCGTTTCAAAGCTGCCTTCCGGATACCCTCCCGGTTCGGCCCTGTGGTCCCCTACTCCCCGCTCCATCTCCTCTAGCCTCTACCCCTTCGTCTCACATACTTCTTCCTCCTCCTCCTTCCTCTTCTTCCTCCTCCTCCTCCTCCTCCTCCTCCTTCCTCTTCTTCCTCCTTTCCGCTTCTTCTCCTCCTCCTCCTCCTCCTCTTCTCCTTCTTCTTCTTTTTCTTCTTCTTCTTCTTCTTCATGTTCACAGTCTCCAACGGCAAATTCCACATTTGTCTCCTACACTCTAGCCCAAGCGTATTCTTCTCCTGTCCCCCCTGCATATATCATCCTTATTACCCCTAAAATTGACTATGTTATAAATGCTCTAGACCAACACGGGGCTATATGTGTGTCCAACAGGCGTTATTGGGAATGCGTACCCGTAACATATGCCAGTATAGTGGCGTGTTGCCAGGCCAGTCATTGGTTGACACCGCGCCAATTGGAGTCCGTGCCTCACCTTCTTCTCATTATCTGTAAAATTCCGGATCAGTGCGGGTTGTGGACCAAGGGGCGTGGTGGTACGTCAAGGTGCGGGTTTTCGCCGCGCCAGCCGCCGTCGTTGTCTTTCCTCGCCTCCGGTCTTCACGACTCTGTCTCGAAACCAGGACCAGATAGGGGGAGGAGGAGTGAGTGCGGTGAATGTCGCGCAGGTATATTACTACTATAAACTACTAAACTACTATATACCAACTGAAGTAGTATGCATTCCGAGATGATATGATGAAAGGAGGAAGTCCGTCGGAAATAGAGTTCTACTCATGAATTTTCGAGCTGGTTGCACCAACCCGTCGTCAGACAAACTGAAAAGTGAGAGGTGACATTGTCACACTGCTGGTTGAGGACGCAGACAGAGAGGTAAGCAGACGACCTTGTGAGGGGGAGGTGTGCATCGTGTTGTGATGGGTGCAGAAGGTGAGGATAGATGTTGTGGGTCCCAGTTGTGGTTCACCGTGTTGGGGGGGGGGGAAGGGGGAGTAGGGCAGGGAGGGAGGAATGGCGTGTCGGTGAGATCATGCATGTCCGGGCACGCATTAGCTGTTGTTGTTCTTAAGGTGGGCGCCAGTCAGCCCACCGTGATCGGAGACCCTAGGTCAACATGGCGGTTAATACTATCTGCACCGGAATGCCAAGCTTCGAGGAATTCCCGTGCATGTTTGGTGTTAGCCATGGCGACCACTTCGGTACCGTCCCAATTGAAACGGTGGTCACAATCAAGAGCGTGTGCAAATACGAGAGATAAGGGGTCGAGCGAACCCGATTTGAGTCCGTCGCAGGCTTCAACACGCCGGAGTGCAATGGCCAGCCTCCACCTGGGGTCAGAGCATCGCTGATCACCCTGAACCCGATGCCAGGTAAGTTTGTATATTATCCGAAGAGGACGTCATGTCCACTTACCCGACCGTCTCTGGTTGGTTACAATTAGTATAATATAGACTGCTAGTCGTGAAAACTACGTTTCCGGCAGCCTCTTTAATTATCGCGGACAAACAAGTAGCGAAGTCCAGTCAATCATGATTCCTACCCAGTTTGCTGTGTTGAAACCGGAAGAACGGCTGTGATTTATAGAAAGCGGAAAGTCGCGTTTCGAGGTATAGAGCCTGTCCAGTTTACTAAGGCATATAAATAGCATGAAGGAAGCACAGGAAATTCTGCGTAGCGGTCATTAATTATTTAAAAACGGCCAGTGACAAGTGACGGGACTTGGTGGAAAGCATTTTTTGTCTCGGAATTCAAACGCCTTTTTCTCCTGCCCACGATTTTACTTTTTATTTACGATCTACCATTTCGGACAGCACGGAGAATTGCCTTTCGCAGTGTTGCGTGATACCTATTAAAGACGACTACACTTTAAAGCGTGGGCGTTAGCACGGGGGGAGCATACGACTGAAATAACGACGGCGGTTGAAGGCTGAGCAGCTATTGGTTGGTGAATTAGCGAGGGAAAAAGCTGTCGATAAGAAGGCGCTGAGCTAATTATGCATATGAAAACAAGATTATAGGGCAAAGTTGATAAAATATTTGCAGGAAAAACTACTGTACATTGTCACCGACCGAAGATGGCAATGAAATTTCAATAAAATTCGTCCAAGAAATAGTGGAAGGACACTTCGGAGAAACTGAGCAAGCCATGTTCTTGAAAACGTGTATCGGTATGTCTGTTTTGTAGTCTTAAGCAAAAAAGATGCAAGTTGTTTTTATGTTCACGCAAGTTTAAGGCAACTTCTCGACTTCTTGTTCGCCTCGAAGAAGGCAACCGTAGATGGGGCTGGAGTTCGTGCAAAAATTCACTTCTGAAATGGTGCGATGCCACTACAAACGGACTCAGCAGGTCTTATTATTGAAGGCGCGGGTCGATCTGTCTGTTTTCTTCACTGGGCTGTATTCGCTACCAGGAAACTTTTTCGTCACACAAGTTGACCGACATTTCCTACTTTAATTTAAACTGGTTGCGAAAATAAATACTTATGAAGGGGTAAGAAAAACGAGCACAATAGCATTCCAACAAATTCAGGAAATGCGACTTCCGTCCAACTTCAAAGAGTGCACATTTGGCATTACCGAAAAAGACAAGGGAGACTGGAATGGCCACTTCCCGCTTATTAAGCGTCGTCAGCCAGTCATACCCAACCCCGTAGGGTAGAACAGCCGAGGCTCGATCTCACGACCTGTAAGCTAGAAGTCCACGCCTCTAACCACTGGGCCACGAGCCCCTTGCCATTCTGCCTATACCATGCGCCGTTGTGCGGCTGCTGGTTGGGCTCGAGAGAGAGAGAGCCCGTAAGGCACAACGGAACGAGCGAGATCCGTAAGAACGATCGGTGAGCGCCCCCTAACAGCTCACTTTTGATAGAAAGACAACACAAGCACTCACTTCTGTTGCATGAGGATCAAAAGCCAAAAATGGCGGATTTCTCGATATGTTAATTAACTGATGAGGCATGAATACTTTTTTTACAAAAAAACAGGTTTGAGTTGTTTCTATGGTCACGGAAGGTTAGGGGGACTTTTCGGCTTCGTCGTCGTCCTGAGAAAGACTGTTTATCTTCGAAATGAATGCTATTTGTCCGCAAATGCGACTCTGTCTGAAGTTCTTAATATCTGCAACGATGGGATGTACCCTTTTAGACGATAGCAGATAAAAAAACTACAAATTCGCGCGACCTCCATGTGCAATTCCATCCAGAACTCAAAAGTTTTTCGAAAGGCACAGGCTACAAATAAACGTGTCCTGTTAACCATACTTAAAAGTCCATATGGTTCCATCCAATGAACAGCGCATTTAAGGTCGTTTATTTTTACGAACGAATAGCAAATTTTCGATCCAGAAAAGTAATCATTTTCATGTTAATGTTACCTTCAGAAAGGGATGCTTATCAGTGGTATAAACGGGAAAGAAAATCATTTAATGTTGAAGTCAAACGTTAGCTAGACGGTTGACACGATGCGCTAGGCATTTGGGACAGGTTTGATGGCGGCACACAAACACTGTTATTTGGAAAGCACCCTTATTATAAGAAATGCAAATTTACGCTTTGTTGTAAAGAAATATCGTGTCCAGTTTATTCGTTTTAAACGCTTTTGTGAAATCTGGGACTTTTAGACCAAAAAAGCCTTGACTTAGGAAGAAAAGTATTCGGACATATCGGAGAGGTCAGAAACGATGCGTTCGGTAATCCCGGAATTTTCGGTGAGCTAGGTTGGCCGCAATTTTATTTGCCTCGAGAATAGGAAGTGAACTCTTAATTCAGAAACTCATCTCTCCGACGATTAAACTAGAGGCTAGCGTCCATCTATGATGTTGGACACAGTTTTTGTGGAAGTGATTTCTTATAACGACGGCGACTTTGTGACCACGACCAAATTTCCCGTTCAAACACCCCATCAGGCTTGGTAGTCATGGCAGTATCTAAGATGGGAGGCCTTGAGGATCTAGTTCCACTGCATTCTTGACAAGTGGATTATCTGCAAGGAAATAGTCACAATTAGATCAATCTTCTTTCACATTTGGAATGCCTTCCTTTTAGATGCATGCACGGGCGATGTTACATTCCCGGAAAAAATTGTTACGCAAAGCACAAACTTTCGAGGTCGATAGTCCACGAAGATGCCTGAATTCAGTCACATCAGCCGGCTTACCATGTGATAAAGTTCTTCAGAACTCCAGCTGACCATCCTCCCTGTCATAGACGTGCAAGTAAGTTTGCATGGATTAAACAACGTCGCCGTCTTCCTAAACAAACCTGTGGGACTGACCGCTATACCAACCTCGAACCCAGCATCGAAAACAGAATCAAAGTAAATACGGCTATTTTATAATGCAGTTACGAAACAATCACATCCTGTTTGATTTAGTGGCACCAACAGTGAGCAGAAGCGTTATTACTTAGTATGGTGATTGTTTGTTTCTCCGTCCCCCAGGGTTAATGATCATGAAGTTATCACCTGTGTTGGCCACTGATGTAATAAGTACCAGGAAATCTGACCTACAGTTACGGTGAGTGGCCGATCTCATGAAATATTGACTAAACTTCTGAAATACGTTCTCGATTAGGAAGGATTACTTAGGCGCGGTTGTAATGCTGATTATCATGCGGCAGAATCCTATCACATTTTTGACTCGGCAAGATGTCGGCTTTTGAATACACTGCTATTCAACCTCCTGTGAAAATCACACTCGGTGAAAAGTGATTTCTTTAGGAGCATTTTCCTCATTGATTTTCGATGGTCTCGGAAAATTAAAATATATTTTATAGAAACCACAAACAAAAATATGCTTTCTTTTGGTTATTTGATAGAGAATCACGTCATCTTTATATTTTATACGCAAAAAGGAGTATAATTAGGTTTTAAAAAGTTGTCTAATTGCCGAATAATTTGGAAGCTGATCAGTAGTTGCACCAGCGCTTAGTGATTTCAGTCTACAAGATGCATGCGTTCTGAGTAAAGAAACTCACATATTTGTCTACGTTTTTAAGAAGATACCATACAGAGTCCATGAAAATTTGCAATGGATACGGACGGTGTTGTATATTTCATGAGGAGCAGTGGCAAAAATACAGGTACGATGTTATATGAGGAGGCATTTTACGGTTTTAAAAAATCTCATTATTAGAAACTTTTTTAAAACCCAATTATACTCCTTTTTCGCGTATAAAATATATAGGTGATGGAAATGTTTCCTGGTAGCGAATACAGACCGGCGGAGAAGACGGGCAGATCGACCGGCGCCTTCAAGAATAGGACC